GTTATTATGAGAAATAACTCTTTTATCTGTTCTGGCATGTTGGTTAACAATCATTATACTATTACTTGTGCACATCATACTGTGATTGAGGCTCATGCATCTTCATCACTAAACAAGAGAAAGGAACCTTCTCAGTCGAATCAGACATATCTTTGGCACCTAAGATTGGGTCATGTCAATCTAAGGAGGATCCAAAGGCTGGTAGGTAATGGCTTCTTGGATTCTCTCCAAGTTGAACCATTTCCAGTCTGCGAATCCTGTTTGGAAGGCAAGATGACTTCTAGGCCCTTTAAGGCCAAGGGGAATATGTCCAATGATATGTTGGAATTGATTCACTCTGATTTGTGTGGGCCTATGTCTATTCAAGCTAGAGGTGGTTTTGAGTATTTCGTTACTTTCATTGACGATTACTCAAGATATGGGTACATTTACTTGATGCGCCGCAAGTCTGAATGCTTTGACAAGTTCAGAGAATTCAAGGCAGAAGCGGAGAACCGTCAAGGGAAAAGTATCAAGTCACTGCGATCTGATCGTGGTGGCGAATACCTTAGCAATGAATTTAGGCAATACTTATTAGAGAATGGGATTACAACCCAGCTGACTGCACCTGGTACTCCCCAATAGAATGGCGTAGCAGAGAGGAGGAATAGGACTCTGTTGGAAATGGTGAGATCGATGATGAGCTATGCTTCAATACCTACCTAGTTTTGGGGATATGCCTTGGAAACGGCGGCGTACCTTCTTAACTTTGTACCTTCTAAATCAGTTCCGAAAACTCCAATAGAATTGTGGTCCGGGCGCAAGCCCAGTTTAAACCACATTCGGATTTGGGGCTGCCCAGCACATGTGTTGGATAAGGAAGCTGATAAGTTGGCACCTAGAACAGAAGTACGGCTGTTTGTAGGTTGCCCAAAAGGAACAAGAGGTGGTTACTTTTATAGTCCTAAAGATCAGAGGGTAGTGGTTAGCACCAATGCCCGATTTTTAGAGGATGACTATATGAGTGAGCATAAGTCCAAGTGTGAGATTATTCTCAAAGAGTTGAGGGCAGACTGTAATAACCCAACTCTTTGTTAATAAGAATGATGTATTATCTTTTATCGATTCCGTTCATTTTCAGCGAATACGTTCGACGTTAAGTCAAAAAGGTTATCCGGTTAATTATTAACCGAGTTAATTGGATAATTAATTTCCGAACCGTTTATTTTATAAACGGATGTTATTAATCGGGATTAATTATTGATAATTCAGCATGTTCGAAATTAAGTTCTAAGTTGAAACTAGGCTAAGTCATGAATTGCACTAAGTATGTGCACGTTCATGTATTCATGCACGCATGCCGTGCGTACAGCCGCGCACGCGAACGCGCGTAGCGCGCATCGCTATGCGTAACACATGCAGCGCGCGCCATTAGGCGCTAAGCGCATGCTTATGCAACACTAAGCACAATGATCAAGTTAAGCCACCCCAAATCCCAAGTACTTGTTGAGCCGTGAGGAAATGTAAAAGGATGAAGTTGGGTGTGCAAGTGGGGAGATGATTCACCTTCTTGCTTGCACACACGGCGCACCACGCATGCACGGGCGATGGCTAAGCCCGTGCATGGCCGCCACCTCGGCAATGACTAAGCCAAACATGCCACACTTCAGCCCACTATTGAAACACTTGGCATTGGGGGAAAATGCATCATCAATCACCTCCTTTCACCCCAAGTTGACCCTCGGTTTCACCTTCTTTAAAATGACCGTGCGTGTGAGATTTTTCATGCACAATTCCATGCACCAACTCGTCCAACTTCAGCACATCCAAGAGAGAAAATAGTGAGGAAATAGTAGTATAAAAATTATACAAAAATAGCTAAGGAAGGTGGAAGCAAAAGGGAAGCAAGCACGCACACGTTTAAGCATTACAACCGCACGCAAGTCATCGTGAAATCTTCGACCGAACTGAAGGGTATACCCCTATTTACATTTTGTTTATATAGTTAAGCTCATTGTAGGGAGATCATGTCGATGTCAAGTCGTTCGGTCCAAATTCTTTTAGTAAAACGGCCTCGGAGGTGCTATTTAAGCCCTCCCGAGTGATTTCAGTTTTTAACCGGCAAGTCTCGAACGTTTATTGCATAATTATGTTATTTAAGTCAAAACATGATCAGTCATA